AAACCTGGGGATCCAGCCAGTGGTTGCAATGTTGAAGAGCATCAGAGGCTGACAGCCTGCTGAGCTGGCCCCAGAGGGGGCCAGGCAAGCATGCTGGGCCTCACTGGGCCCCTCTCTTCCAGACAGGGCTGGCGCAGGCACTGTCAGAATTTACCGCTCTGGCTGACCTTTCCCTTTTCTAATCCTGTGCATTTGGGTTTTCATATGTTAGTGTCGTCAGTTAGGCTTTGCCGGCCTCTGTCTCCCTCTATCCATCTGTTCTGGGTGGGCACTTCTTTTTTGTTTTTTTCTGGCCGCACCACGTGGCATGTGGGATCTGAGTTCCCCGACCAGGGATTCAACCCATGCCCCCTGCAGTGGGAGCGTGGAGTCTTAGCACTGGACCACCAAGGAAGTTCCTGGGTGGCCACTTCTAAACTCCTGCTTCGCAGACCACTCCCCACTCTGGCTTCCCATTACTGCTTGTAATTCTGGACCCTCTCAGGGTTGTTTTATTGGGTGCCCTCTTTATGTTATTTTCCTGAATCTCCATCACCTCCCTGAGAGGGGGGGAAGACTGTCTCTGTTTTATAGGTGAGGTGACCTAGGCTCAGAGGAGTGAAGTCTCTTGCCCAAGGTCCCAGAGTGAGCTAGTGGTGGAGCCGGGCTCCGTGTCTAGGTCTGGCTGACCTGGGTCTGCCCCCTGCCTTGCTGCCCTGAATGGAGGGGTCCATGAGATGACTGTGTATGGAGTCCCTGATGCTGGGCCTGGCCCGCAGTGGCTCAGCAATGGGAGTCTTGCCCTTTCCAGCAGAGTAACACTTCTGACTCTTGCAAAGCTTCCAGCCCCCATCCCCCCACCGCACTCCTTCCCTTCTCCCTGACTCCAGCCTGTCCCTCCTGCCAGGCTGGGTGGAGCTCACCTTTATAGCCTTCTTGTTCCAAGGAGTCAGGATGTCAAGGCTCCTCCCTGTCCTCCCGCACAGCCCTACTTATTCCCACATCTGGGCGTTTGCCTGCTTAGTGACTCAGCCCAAATGCCCTGCCTGCCATCTCCTGTCTAGATTCTCCCTTTTTTTCAAAACCTAACTCCCTCACCCTGCACTCCCTACCCTATAAGTCTTCTTTGGGAACTCCAGGCCATACTCCTGATCGCCAGGTCCCAGAATCTTCTAGAGGCTAAAATGTACACTGGCAAATCTAAGTCACATCCTGGGTGAGTATCATCCTCCCGTGTTGCGATGAGCTCCACAGGAACCAGCACATGTCCCTCTGGGTCCCCTACAGTGCCTGGCCGGCTTGGCTGCGCAGCGGGCTCCATCAGTCTGTGCTGACCTGGGCCTGGGCAGAACTGTGCCCATGTGACTGGCTGTGGCCGAAGCCAAGGCCAGGTTCTTGGCTCGCTTTCTGTGCCCCAGTGAGAGAACCATGCCGTTATCCCTGGACTTGTGAGATACAGAAGGATCTCATCATAGGTTTAAAAAATAATAATGTGATTTTTCTTTTTAATTCATAACTTTTTTTAGAATTTAAACAGATTTTATTTATCTCTTTCTCATCCTGTCATACCAGGCCATGTGCATTGGAAAAATTTATTTTTTAACATCTAGTTTTTTTAAATCATTCAAGAAATCTCCAAGTATAGTAGAAAAAATGAGAACTACAGTTAAACAGAAAGAAGAAAAAAATAATTTGTATACCTGCCTTCTAGAAACAACCATAGTTAATATACTTTGCTGAAATTTCTGGAACTGTATGTGTGCATTAATCAAAATAGGGTCAATCTGTACAAACTGTTGTGTATCATGCTTTTTCACTCTGGTGAAAGTTTTCCGTGATTCCATGACTTTTGAAAAATATATATATATATTTATTTATTTGGCTGCATCGGGTCTTAGCTGCAGCACACGGGATATTTCGTTGCAGCGTGTGGGCTTCCCTCTAGTTGTGGCGCACGGGCTCCAGAGCTCATGGGCTCAGCAGTTGGGACAGACGGGCTCTCCAGTTGTGGCGTGTGGGCTCTGCAGGGCACAGGCTTAGTTGCCCCCCGGATGTGGGATCTTAGTTCCCCAACCAGGTATTGAACCCACGTCCCCTTCATTGGAAGGTGGATTCTTAACCACTGGACCACCAGCGAAGTCCCTTCCATGATATATATATATTTTAAAAATTTATTTACTTATTTTTGGCTGCGTTGGGTCTTTGTTGCTGTGCGTGGGCTTTCTCTAGTTGCAGCAAGAGGGGCTACTCTTTGTTGCAGTGCACGGGCTTCTCATTGTGGTGGCTTCTCTTGTTGCGGAGCATGGGCTCTAGGTGCTCGGGCTTCAGTAGTTGCGGTACATGGGCTCAGTAGTTGTGGCGCGCAGGCTCAGTAGTTGTGGCACACAGGATTAGTTGCTCCGCGGCATGTGGGATCTTCCTGGACCAGGGCTCGAACCCTGCATTGACAGACGGATTCTTAACCACTGTTCCACCAGGGAGGTCCCACTCAGGCCTCTTTTGCTCTCTGGGTCTCACCTGTAAAAGAAGAGGAGACTAATTATCTCAGAAGGCTTCCAGCTCCTTTCCTCTGAGGTTCTCCCAGCACCAGGCAGTGCCAGCAGCCTCTGCTGGAGACCTGGGTGGTGAAAGACTGGGATATTTATTTAAGATTACTCTCCTGGCTATTTCCAAGATGATGCAGGCCCAGGGAAGGTTCAGAGAGTATGGACTGAAATCAGACTGAGGCAGAGGTGGGAGTAGATGCACTGGGCTCCCTGGACCCATGAGGGGCATGTGGATTCTGCTTCTCCCAGCACAAAACATACAGATTAGTCTATGTGTTCTGGTTTTTTTGAAGCAAAATTAAGCAGGCATTTATTTTAAGGGTTCTTCCCTGTAGGCCTTATCTAGCATTATGGCTGATATCCTCCAGTGAGGGCTTAGAAGAAATCCAGAGCCAGGCAGATATGTCTCAGTTTGACACCATGAGGCTGTGAGCCCCCCTGGAGCAGCTCTTCTTGCTTTGAGCTCTGGCACAGAGTCAGCACTTAGTGTCATATAAGCAACAGAGGGCCTTTATTTAACTATGGCTTTAAATTATACCCTTAAAGCCCGGGGTAATGACGTGAGTGGAAAGCATTTTTGGGTGGGGTTGAGGCAATGTGGACTAAGGCCTTCCCTTCCTCCTCATCTTCTTAACAGTGGCATCCGTAACAGCAGACCCTCTCATTTGTGCTATGAGCTCCAGCTTACAAAGTGTTCCACTCATTATCCACGAGGTGGGAATTGAGGATGCTCGTGACCTCTCTAGGGCCCTAGAGATGTTGGGTGGCTGAGTGGGGTGCTCAGGGCCCCTGACTTTCTGTCCAGTGCTCCTTGCTTTGGGTGGGGCTGGTGGCCCCTGGAAGGCAGGGGGAGAAACTGAAGAATAAAAAGGAAATGTGGGGCTGGGGCTTGGAGCATGTGCACAGCCCAGGGTGAATCCTGCGTCTGTCTGTCTAACTGCCCATCCAAGGCCCCATGGTGGGTGGGGTGAGGGAGGGACCTGCCAAGTCTCATCTGGATCTTTCTCATTTAGTATGATGGATTCAGAGGAAGGCTTTAGACTCGGGGGTGCGGGTTCCTGCTCATTTCTCTGTTACCCGGTTTTAGCTCCAAACTTTTTTTTTTTGAGAGGTTTGTTTTCACCAATGGGGGTTGGAAATGGGTGCTTTTGCCTTCCTAAAAACAAACAAACAACACGGGTTAAAAAAATATAGGGGTGGGATAGGGAGGGTGGGAGGGAGGGAGACGCAAGAGGGAAGAGATATGGGAACATATGTATATGTATAACAGATTCACTTTGTTATAAAGCAGAAACTAGCACACCATTGTAAAGCAATTATACCCCAATAAAGATGTTAAAAAATATATATATAGATGTATTTTTAAAATTATACAAGTAATTCCAAAGTGTATGAAGTAGAAAATGAAGCTCCCTCTCTTATCCCACCCTGTGGAACTCTTTTTCCTCTGTCTAATTCTGAATTATTAACCTCTCTTAACAGTTTGGTAAGTATCCTTTCAGATCTTTTACTACATGTGTACAAACACAAAGGTGTATTGTTGAGGTTATTGGTATATTTTTTTAATATAAAAATGGGACCATGCCATTCTTTCTTTCTCTCTCTTTCTTTCTCTCTCTCCTTTTCTCTCTTTGCAATTTGCTTATTCCAAAGAGAAGCTGGGCAACAGGTCCTTGATTCTCTGAAATCTCCTCACTTCCTGCTCTGAGGGGGAAATGATAAGAATAGTCGGTGGCAGAGATAATTTCTAAGTCCCTCACTTTTTGGATGAGTCCTAGTGAGACCAACCGACTGCCCATTTGTGGCAGATGTGGAGCCCGAGCCCAGTTCACCTGACTTTGACATCATCAGGGCTATATGTTTTTTAAGAGTACCTTCCTGCGTTATCCCTTTAAGTACATCCTGACAACACCCCTGTGAAGTCAGGGGGCAGGAATTATTGAGGCTTGGGGCATGAAGAGCCTTGTCCGATGTCAGGGCTGGAAAGGCCGGGAGCACAGGGCTCTTTGGGTTGAGTTCCATTTATCCCACATTGATTGAGGGGCTACCGTGTGCCAGGTGCTGTAGTGGGAGAGACAGCCTGGCCAAGGGCCTGCCTGGAGGTGGTCACTGACTGTCCCTGGTGCTCTTGGCAGAGTGGGGCCCCCTGGAGAGACTCTCCTCGCCCTTAGGAAGGGCCCTGATTCCAGACCTGGGCCAAGAGCTTGGAGTCCCTGAGGAGCTATATGGGCACAAGGGTGGGTGGGGGTCTGTGACCTCGGCTGTTGCCACCGAGCCCTCACTTCTCATGACTCTGTCCCCATCCTCACTTCCTCTGTCTCTCCCTCCCTCCCTCCTCCTTCTCTCTGTGACTCTTTGTCCGTTTGTCTCCATCTGTCTCTCTCCACGTGTGGTTCCTGTGCCCCTCGCACCGTTCTGTCGCACCATTGCTGCCCCTCTCTCCCATCGCGTGCTCTCTCCTTTGCGCCAATGCAGGCGTGCTGGTCACCATGACAACAGAGACAGGCCCAGATTCTGAGGTGAAGAAGGCTCAGGAGGAGGCCCCGCAGCAGCCTGAGGCAGCCGCCGCAGCTACTACCCCTGTGACCCCCGCGGGCCACGGCCATCCCGAGGCCAACTCCAATGAGAAGCATCCGCCCCATCAGGACGCTCGGCCCGCCGAACAGGTGTGTGCCTGAGAGCATGGGATCCGTCTTCCTGCCCAGCCAGTCCTCCAGAAGGGAGGCAAGAAGGAAACTGATATGTATTATTGACCCATTACATGCCAAGCACTGTGCAGGGGGCATAGTGTTCATTTCTATAATTAATTCTCTGAGACCTAAGAAGGTAACTATTGATTTCCCCATTTTACACTTGGGGAAACAGAGGCTCAGCAGGATGAAGTGAGTTACCCAAAGTCACTTTGCTATAAAGTGACAGAAGTGCAAGTCAGATCTAGATCTGATTTTGAAAATCGGTGTTCTTTCGACTTTATTTTCCTATCCCCCAAGGCTGTCCATTCTAGCGGGGCAAGCCCAGGGTGACTGCAGAGCAAAATTCATCACCCTAAAAAGAGACAGAGGACTTGGGGGTTCATCTGGCCATTGAATTCACACCTCCCCTAATTCACAGCTGGACCGGAGAGGGCAGGGACTTGGCCAAGGTCATTGAGGGTGTCAGTGACAGAGTTAGGACTAGTGGGCAGGGCTCTGACCTCCCTTCCCTCCACTAGATCAGTCCCAGCCTCATGCTAGACCCAGTGACAGACTGAGGAGGCGGAGACCATGTCCTGATCACTCACGCACTGTTCTCGGCAGATAGGACAGCTCTGGCCTCTGAGTCTGGTTTTTGTGGGACGCTCCAGCCTGCAGGGGAACAGTGGACCCCTCGTATGAGCCCACCCATTGTACGCAGAAGCTCTGGCTCTCTTCCTGCACACACCCACCATAGACCGTGGTCACCTGGAGGGGTCTTAGGGGGCAGTGGCTCTCATTTTGGGGTCTGTCTGAGCCCCAGCTGCATCCTTACTGCATCTCATTTGGACGCAAAGCTATGGTTTCTAGCCCGCTGACTAAACCCTTCCCTTTGTTGGACCTGCAGAGCCTAGACATGGAGGAGAAGGACTTCGGGGAGGCCGATGGCCTGTCGGAGAGGACCACACCCAGCAAGGCCCAGAAATCGCCCCAGAAGATTGCCAAGAAATACAAGAGTGCCGTCTGCCGAGTCACGCTGCTCGATGCCTCTGAGTATGAGTGTGAGGTGGAGGTAGGGAGCACCACAGGCCCCATCCTTGGTCGACCGTCCTCAGAGCCAGGACAGGCCTCTGTGCGCATTCAGCCTGGGCCAAGCCAGAGGGCATCCACTCTTCAAGGAGGCCTGGACCGACTGCCGCGCCCTGGGGAGTTGACCCGGCCAGCCCTCCTTTGCACAGATGGTGGCACCGAGGCCCGCAGAGGGCTCTTCTGATTGCAGATAGTGTTAGGCGAGGCACAGGGCTGGTGCCAGGAAAAGGCTTCTCAGGGTGGCTGTACCTCGGCAAGGAGTCACCGTTTCGGGGCTGATCTGTAGCCTGGTAGGACCTGGGCTCTTTCATCTCACCCAGCAGACGCTGAGGTTTCAACCAGAATCATTTTCATGTATATAATGGGTGTGGAGAAGGGTTCTCCCTGTGAAGCACCCTATCCAGGGCACCAGGACAAACTGGTCACTCGAGGCTTCCATGATGAGGTGTCCCCCAGGCATAGGGAGGTGGCCCATTGGAAGGACCCTCCCCCCCAGGCTGTGGAGACACCCTGTGGCATGGCTCTGGCCCACAGTGGGTGGCTGGGCAGACACCTCCTCTCTGGGGTCAGCCCTCCTGGTCCCACATGTAGCATCTCCCTTTCCTGCACAGGCTGGAACTCCCACCCGAATTCTGAGCTCTCACTCACCCCCTTTGAGGTTCTGCCCTGGTCCAGGCACCATCCTGGCCCGTCCACGTGTATGGAAGAGTCCAGAGGGTGGCCTTACTGCTGAGAGTTACAGGACCCATCTCCCTTTCTCCTCCGATCCCTGGTCTTAAGGGACCGACTTCTGAGGCCTGGGAGGCTGGCTCTGTCGCCTTTGGGTTGGTTTTTTTTTTTTTTTTTTTTTTTTTTATGTTTTTTTTTTTTCACAGAAGGGTGTCAGGGGG